AAAAAGCAAAGGTTGATCCTTCGTTGCACTCCAGTATTATGACCTCAGGGTGGGTAGTTATATTGTACTGTGGAAAGGGAGGTGTAAGGGACAACCAAATTACGCATACCATAAACTGTAGGAGGAGGACTACAAAAATGATTGTGTAAGAAAAATGGTGGCTGGTGAATTTCTGAAGTGTGCAGCCTGGCCTAGTGGCCAAGAACGCCAAAACAACCATTATCGTTTTGGATAACACACAAGAAATACAAAGAGAAAAAACAATCCCGAATGTAGCCTGGCGGAGAACACACTTCAGTGGTTGGGGATAACCAATAAATACCAAAGGGCAAAGAAAACAGAAGGATAAACAAACCAAAAGAAGGCAACTTAAGGAGTAGTTGCTGGCTTTGACTATTGGGGTGGACTTATGACGGGTTAAAAGTTTTAGAATTGCAATTGGGATCAAAGAAGAAGCAACACTGAAAGAAGATAAGGTTGACCCCAATGGTTCTTCGTAAGAGAGATACTCTATGGTTTTCCGAAGACATCTTGTCCTTTCTTTGTTTGGCCATTGGTTCCATGGACATCGGAAGCAGTTAAGTGAGTCTGAAAGTCAGCACATTATACATCAGTTACTTAGAGAAATATCTGGTTTAAGTTTAATACACCCGTTAAACAAAGCAAACTATGTGGTATATCACATTCATCCATATTTGGCAAATTTTCACAGCCAAGGTCTCGGGATTTACATAATTCATTCAACAGGATGGCTACAGTACAACTTAAATAGATATTTCTGAATTAATTTATATTTGGCTATCAAGCTTGGGAACTAGGCCATGAGAATCTATTTTTTGTATCAATGGGGAGCATGAGCTTTCTTGATTGCGAAGTTATTGAAAATTCTGTCTAAAATACATGGCAATAATTTTTAGCCTGATTTTTCTAAAAATTTCTATTAAACAGAATCAACATTGCCAAACTGTTACATACCTATTAAATATATCACTATAAATGCCATTTCCTCAAACGCATTCTTTCTAAAACTGAGCTCATTATATTTCCAATTTGTTATATTGCTATTTCTCAGCTCACTTCAAGTGACCTATTCCAATTCCCTTTCCAGGGGCGTAGATAAGGGGTGGGTCAGGGGGGTCAGAGCATCTGTCAATCGTGAAGCAGCTAGGCTAGTGTAGCCTTTCAGGCGCAGGACTGGGATGGGAGTCGCACAGTCACACTTTCCTTCATCATAATACATGTCAGTCCAAGTTTTGACCTGTTAGTTTAGTAGCGGGCAGGTCGGGACTCGGGAAAGTGCTGGGTGATATAATGAGGGAGGATCTTAAGAGGCTGCTTCAGCTACCCATTGGCTGAGAAGGCAGCATGGGGTGGTGCAGAAGCCTGTAGGGGGTGGTGCAGAAGCATTTTTCCCCAGTAGGAAATGAAGGGAAAAGGCCTGTGTCCCCATTTAACAACAGTGGCTTAGTTGCAAGGGTCAAAATTCAAAATGGCGACACCCCCCCCCCCCCCGCTCCAAGGGAGCCCTGAGGCTGATAGACAGCGAATACACTGAGATTCTGAAAGCAAAGGAGGAGGCGGTGTCTTCCCGAGTGCTGTATTCTCTGTCTCCCCCTATAGTGCACTACCCAGCTGTGTGCATTGTAATTTTTAAAGTGTGTGTTCCCAAATGTGTGTGTGCCATCCCACCACAGAGCAGTCCACCTATCCCATGGCACTGCAGAGCATTCCACCCATCCCATGGCACTGCAGGATAAATCCACCCATTCCTTGACACACTGCACAGCATTCCACCCATCACATGACATTGCAGAGAACTCGACCCATCCCATGACTATGCTGAACATTTCACCCATCCGATGGCACTGCAGAGCACTCCACCCATGCCATAACACTACAGAGCATTCCACCAATCCCATGACCCACTGTGGAGCATACCACCCATCCCATGGCACTTCAGAGCAATTCACCCATCCCATGACACACTGCAGAGCATTCCACCCATCCCATGACACACTGCAGAGCATACCACCCATCCCATGACACACTGCAGAGCATACCACCCATCCCATGACACACTGCAGAGCATACCACCCATCCCATGACACACTGAAGAGCATTTCACCAATCCCATGGCATTGCAGAGCATTTTACTCATCCCATAGCACTACAGAGCATTCCTCCCATCTCATGGTACTGCATAGCATTCCACTCATCCCATGACACATTGCAGAGTATTCCACCCATCTCATGACACACTGGGTGGGTGGATAATGTTACAATCTCCACCTCAGCTAATCAGAGGAAGCCTTATATTTGTTGATAAAATACAAAGTGTCCTGTGAATGGCTGAGTGCGCAACCCGACTCCCGACCGGGAGCAGATCGGGAAGTGGCCATCCTGCGGCCGGAGCTCAGCGCTGTATAATGTATGCGGCTGATGCGACAGACAGTGTATCCTGTATCTCTGACAGCGAGTTCATCTGTTAGGTGAGGCAATAGTCCATTGGTGACACAAATTGTGACAGTATGGCAGACACCCTTATTGCTGTCCTCTCGGTACCTAAGGCTGAACCCCCCCAGGAAAAAAATTATCTACGGCCCTGTCCCTTTGTATCTCATTTCTCTTCCCAGAATTCCTACCAGATGGGACAGGAGGGATGATTTCATGGTATTTGGACAGACATCCTATACCTAGTCATTGCAGGACAAACCTGTGACGGTACCTTTGGTTTTTACACAGAGTTTTCACAGCTGCTGTCTAGGAAGAGAAGAGCTTACAATCACCTCCACAAAAAAAATATTGCCTTAATGCACAGCTTCCCGGTGCTGTATTAACTGATTTCACGCCTACCTATAGCAGAAATACTGCTACAGGGCAGCACGGGATTTTGCAGATCCGGGTAGGGGGCCCTGCCATTCGTGGCCTCGGCTGTCAATCACCGGGTCCCAGCCAGTGATTACTCACCGACACCCAGTGATCTCTGACAGGGGAGAGACCTGTATATAAACAGCACAGATCTCTCCCCTGTCAGCTCCTGCATACTGCTTTGTATAGATCTGCATAGCACAGCCATACAAAGCAGTGTGCTTACAGTGAAACACATAGCCCACAAAGTGAATCAGCACACAGTTAACCCTTTGATCGCCTCAGATGTTAACCCCTTCCTGCCCAGTGCCATTAGTACAGTGTCAGTGCTTTTTATTAGCACTGATCACTGTATTAGTGTCACTGGAGATGTCAGTGGCAGTTAGTCAGTTCCCCCCCCCAGTGTCAGAATGCCTGCCCTAGTCCCACTATAAGTTGCTGATCGCCGCCATTACTAGTTTAAAAAAATCCCTTTATCTATACCGCCATTTGTAAACGCTATAACTTTCACGTAAATCAATGAATTTACACGTATTGGGATTTTTTTTTTAGCAAAGACATGAAGCAGAATACATTTTGGCCTAAATTTTTGACGAAATTTTATTTTTTTACATTTTTTTATTGGACATGTTTTATAGCAAAAAATATAGTTTTTTTCCTCAAAATTGTCAGTCTTTTTTTGTTTATAACACAAAAAATAAAAAACACACAGGCGATCAAATACCATCGAAGAAGAAAGCTCTATTTGTGGGGGAAAAAAGGATGTAAATGCAGGTGCAGTGTTGCATGACCGCGCAATTGTCAGTTAAAGTAACGCAGCGCCATAACGCAAAAAATGGCCTGGTCAGGAAGGGGGGGGAATCCTCAGGAGGGCGAGGGGTTAATAAACGTCATGAAGGAAAAATATATATGACTTGCCTGTATGATTTGAGACCTCACCAAGTGGACATGGTACACAATGAAAACAACATGCGGGTTCTCTTTCTGGTATCACCTTCATGTGACCTGGAAGGCAGCTCACACTACACACAGAAGAAGGCACCTAAAGGGTGAGATAATTGGATTAATATTTATAGTAAGAACCAGGGGCGGACTGACAACTCATGGGGCCCCCAGGCAATAGGGGATCATGGGGCCCCTGTGTCCTTGCCCAAACTCAAAAAAGCCTATGAAAAGGTACCAGGGGCATCTCATGGGGCCCCCTACTGACCCCGGGCCCTCGGGCAGTGCCCGAGTTTCCAAATGGTCAGTCCGCCCCTGGTAAAAATAATGTGAAGAGCTGTAAGTCCTCCTGCACACGGGATGTTTTTACAGCGGCTGTTTTTGGCTTTTGACCTTTTTTTCTACAGCCAATAAACCCCCCAGCATGTTATCCTATGTGTCCATCCCCAGCATGTTCTCCTATGTGTCCATCCCCGGCATGTTATCCTATGTGTCCATCCCCGGCATGTTATCCTATGTGTCCATCCCCGGCATGTTCTCCTATGTGTCCATCCCCGGCATGTTCTCCTATGTGTCCATCCCCGGCATGTTATCCTATGTGTCCATCCCCGGCGTGTTATCCTGTGTGTCCATCCCCAGCGTGTTATCCTATGTGTCCATCCCCGGCATGTTCTCCTATGTGTCCATCCCCGGCATGTTCTCCTATGTGTCCATCCCCGGCATGTTCTCCTATGTGTCCATCCCCGGCATGTTATCCTCTGTGTCCATCCCCGGCATGTTATCCTATGTGTCCATCCCCGGCATGTTATCCTATGTGTCCATCCCCGGCATGTTATCCTATGTGTCCATCCCCCCCGGCGTGTTATCCTACGTGTCCATCCCCAGCGTGTTATCCTGTGTGTCCATGCCCGGCGTGTTATCCTGTGTGTCCATCCCCAGCGTGTTATCCTATGTGTCCATCCCCGGCATGTTCTCCTACGTGTCCATCCCCGGCATGTTCTCCTGTGTGTCCATCCCCGGCATGTTCTCCCATGTGTCCATCCCCGGCATGTTCTCCCATGTGTCCATCCCCGGCATGTTATCCTGTGTGTCCATCCCCGGCGTGTTATCCTATGTGTCCATCCCCGGCATGTTCTCCTATGTGTCCATCCCCGGCATGTTATCCATGTGTCCATCCCCCGGCATGTTATCCTGTGTGTCCATCCCCGGCATGTTATCCTATGTGTCCATCCCCGGCGTGTTATCCTACGTGTCCATCCCCGGCGTGTTATCCTACGTGTCCATCCCCGGCATGTTCTCCTACGTGTCCATCCCCGGCATGTTATCATATGTGTCCATCCCGGCATGTTATCTATGTGTCCATCCCCGGCATGTTATCTATGTGTCCATCCCCGGCATGATATCCTATGTGTCCATCCCCGGCATGTTATCCTATATGTCCATCCCCGGCATGTTATCTATGTGTCCTATCCCCGGCATGTTATCCTATGTGTCCATCCCCGGAATGTTATCCTATGTGTCCATCCCCAGCATGTTATCCTATGTGTCCATCCCCGGCGTGTTATCCTATGTGTCCATCCCCGGCGTGTTATCCTATGTGTCCATCCCCGGCATGTTATCCTATGTGTCCATCCCCGGCATGTTATCCTATGTGTCCATCCCCGGCATGTTATCCTATGTGTCCATCCCCGGCGTGTTATCCTACGTGTCCATCCCCGGCATGTTCTCCTACGTGTCCATCCCCGGCATGTTATCATATGTGTCCATCCCCGGCATGTTATCTATGTGTCCATCCCCGGCATGTTATCTATGTGTCCATCCCCGCATGATATCCTATGTGTCCATCCCCGGCATGTTATCCTATATGTCCATCCCCGGCATGTTATCTATGTGTCATCCCGGGCATGTTATCCTATGTGTCCATCCCCCGCATGTTATCCAATGTGTTCATCCCCGGCGTGTTATCCTACGTGTCCATCCCGGGCATGTTATCTACGTGTCCATCCCCGGCATGTTATCCTGTGTGTCCATCCCCGGCATGTTCTCCTGTGTGTCCATCCCCCGCATGTTCTCCTACGTGTCCATCCCCGGCGTGTTATCCTACGTGTCCATCCCCGGCGTGTTATCCTACGTGTCCATCCCCGGCGTGTTATCCTACGTGTCCATCCCCGGCGTGTTTTCCTACGTGTCCATCCCCGGCGTGTTATCCTACGTGTCCATCCCTGGCGTGTTATCCTATGTGTGTCCATCCCCGGCGTGTTATCCTACGTGTCCATCCCCGGCATGTTCTTCTATGTGTCCATCCCCCTGCATGTTCTCCTATTTGTCCATGCACACATAGACTGGAATCAATGTTTTTTTGGTTGGGACATTTTTTGGCTGGAGAAAAAACCCCCAGGACTAGTGGGCTTCTAGAGGAGTTTTTTAGCTGTAAAAACTCTCTAACGCTGAAAAACGTGGTAAAACACCACAAACCGGCGTTTTTGGACTTTTTTTGATGAAAAAAAGTTTTTGGTGTATTTTTTGGTTAAAAAAAACACTAAAAAACACAAACGTGGGAACACTATCCGGCGTTTTTGGACTTTTTTTTGATCCTCCCAATTTTTATGGGGAAAAAAACCTCAAATGTGAAAAACGCGGGAAAACTCAGCTAAACGCAGCAAAATGCTAATGCAAAAACGCTAAAAAAAGCAGAAAAACTCACGTTTTTAACGTGACTTTTCACAGCTAACATTATCAAAACACCCCGTGTGCATGGAGCCTGACTTCAAAGTCCAGGTTAACGTTTTTTGACTGGAAACAAACCCCAAGACTAGTGGCTTTCTAGAGGAGTCTGTAAAAACGCTCTAACGCTGAAAAACGCGGTAAAACGCCACAAACCGGCGTTTTTGGACTTTTTTTTTGACGACGAAAAAAGTTTGGGGTTTTTTCTTGGTAAAAAAAAAAACACAAAAAAACACAAACGTGGGAAAAACACCGCTAAACGCAAACGCATAGATGCTAAAAAAAAGCTAATGTTACCAGCATTATCAAAACATCCCGTGTGCATGAGGGCTCAGTGCGCACTTACACTGTTGCATCTAAAAAAAAAAATACTTCTTACCATGCATTAATATATAGAGAGCTACAATTCATTTGATATTTTCCAGGCATTTCGCTGTAATGGATGATTTTGTTGTTTATTTTTTTCCTTTTATGGTAAAACACCGCAAACCAGCATTTTTTTTGTAAAAAACCCGCTAAAAAACACAAACATGAAAAACGCGGGAAAACACCACTAAACGCGGCAAAACTCTGCTAAACGCTAATGCAAAAACGCTAAAAAAAGCTGAAAAACTTGGGTTTTTAACGTGACTTTACACAGCTAATGTTACCAGCATTATCAAAACGTCCCGTGTGCATGAGGGATAAAAGCTAAGTGAACGGTCAAACAAGCTAGGAGTAGATGATGTCAACAGAATAGATATTAACCACTTGCCACCCAGTCACTGTAGAAAGACGATGACAGGGCGGCACGGCTGGGCAAAACAACGTCTTAAAAGGGTGTGTTTGCAAAACAGGTAGGGGGGCGCGCGCGAGGCGCGCCACCGCCCTACCTGTCCCGCTGACCACGGCCGCGGATGTCAGTCATTACCGGCTGTGTCCCGCCGATTAGCAGCAATCACTGACAGAGAGCACAGCTGCAGTAGCTCTGCTTTCTGTCAGTTCCCTGTCAGCTCCTGACATGCTGAGCTGAAGAGAAGAGTTTATCTCTCCCAATCAGCGTGTCCCGTGCAGTACACCCCCCCCGCTCCCTAGTAAAACACTCCCCTCACACAGTTAACACTGTCAGTAAATAATAAAGTTAACCCCTTCCTCCCCATTGCCATTAGTACAGTGTCAGTGTTTTTTTTTTTTTTTGCACTGATCACTGTATTGGTGTCACTGGGGATGTCAGTGACCCCAAGTCAGTTCCCCCCAGTGTCAGAATGTCCGTTGCAGTCCCGCAGTCCCACCATAAGTCTCTGATCGGCGCCATTAATAGTATAAAAAAAATTTTTAAAAATCCCAGTATCTTTCCCGCCATTTGTAAACGCTATAACTTTCATGTAAACCAATTAATTTACACGTATTGGTTTTTTTTTTTAGCAAAGACATGTCGCAGAATGCATTTTGGCCGAAATTTATGACAAAATTTTTTTTTAATTTTTTTTACTGGACATGTTTTATAGCAAAAAGTCCAAAATATTGTTTTTTTTTCTCAAAATTGTCGGTCTTTTTTGGTTTATAGAGCAAAAAATAAAAACCGCACAGGCGATCAAATATCACAGAAAGAAAGCTCTATTTGTGTGAAAAAAGGACATAAATTTAATTTATGTACTGTATTGCATGACCGCGCAATTGTCCGTTAAACTAGCGCAGCGCTGTATAGCAAAAAATGGCGTAAATTGCAGTATCTATACCATAGTTTGTAGATGCTATAACTTCCACACAAAGCAATCAATATACACTTATTGGGATTTTTTTTACCAAAAACATGGAGCAGAATACATTTTGTCCTAAATTTATAACTAACTTTGAGTTTACTATATATTTTTTTATAGCTGAAAGTAAAAAATATCGTTTTTCTTCAAAATCTTTGGTCTTTTTTTGTTTATATAGCGTAAAAAATAAAAAGCGCACAGGTGATCAAATACCACCGAAAGAAAGCTTTATTTGTGTGAAAAAAAGGACGTAAATTTTGTTTGGGTGCAGCATTGCATGACCGCGCACATTATCAGTTGAATTAGTGCAGCGCCGAGGAGCAAAAAGAGGCGTGGTCATTAAGGGGGGTAAATCCTCAGGAGGGCGAGTGGTTAAACAATCGGTATCCCCTATACACAGCAAATGTATCCACCCCAGATGCCAAAGTGCCACTTTCACCCCGAAAGTTCAAACAAAAAAGTCTTTCACAGCGCCTTTAAACAAATAACCCCACAGTGATGAATTATTCCTTCTTCTTTGTTCAAAGAAGATGGAGATGATGTCAACAGACAGACAAATTCCTAGTGAAGAGCCAAGCTGAGATCAGTACCAAGTGATTCGTAAACCAAATGTCAAAGCCAAAACATAGAGCAGGAGCAAAGTTGAGGCATTAAATCAAATTAGTGGTGAAGAGAGCTCAGTCATCTGAGTGGCTTCCTCACTGAAGAATGGTTGGATTAACCTCCCTAGCGGTCTGATTATGTCCATATTTCTGTGCTCAAAGCGGTACTGGTACTTTTTTTTACATGGAAATATGTATTTTTTTTATTGTAGGCCTGTAATTCTTAGGAATAACTCACTGAACGAAATTAATAATTTAATAAATAACATCATAAAAAATAATAATAATCATAAAAAATAATATAATAATAATAAATGTAATTCAATAATATAATCAAACCAAAAACACTGAAATGTGAAATATAGCGCCAAGTTCGCACATCGCTGAGCTCAGTCGCAGAATCGTTTTCAGTCTCTGATGACGAATTTCCCCCACGAATCATTATCACTCAATTCTGCAAGTGGTTCTGATTTACTATCGCTGTTCTCTAGCCGGTCTAAAACCGCTTTTGACCTAAAGGGACGCTTTTTGGACGCCATGGATGTTTCTCGGTTTCCAGGCAGAAAGAACAGTAAAAATGCAGGCAGGGCGCCGGACAAAGCACTCGGGACAAAATGTATGTGAAATGGTTTGATACAGGAATGTTATACTATGTGATTTTAGTGGATTTAGTGAATGTCACTTTTACAACTTTCAAATTTCCCGCCAGTTCCGTCCCCCGTACGTCCCGACGTCGCAGGGGACGGAATCCAGAAGACGGATGCCGGCATCAGCCGGAGGACATTACTGGGGACACTGCAGGGGGGACATCGCGGGAGCGCAGGACAAGGTAAGTGCAGAAGGGATCCCGGAGCAACGCTGCAGTGTATTCCTGAGTGTAGATCGGGGTTACCGCTTGTGGTGCTGAAACTTTACCCCGAGCTACACTCGGGAATACCGCCAGGGGGGTTAATGGCAAAATATCCTGTATAACATGCAAGTCTAACTCATCTTTGTTTACTATCTCTTTAATAATGGTCTCACCTGCTGGTCTCTGCCAGGCCACAACAAGGTACTTGAATTGATGGTGAAGACTTCCCCAGATGATGCCTGGGTATCATAACAACCAACCTTGACCTGTTTTAGAACGCCCTCTGGAGTCATCTGCCAGTTCACAATGTCGTAGACTGCAGGTGGGTCTCCATTCTCATCAAAGTAAAGTTCCCTCCCATTACTTAGCTTCATCCAGACCTTCTTTAAATAGTGAAGGAGCTGAGAGAAATAGGAATAATCCATATCAGCTTCTGTGCTGAGCTCACCCAATATGCCTCATCATATATTGCACTATATCAGAGATTATTGGTTAGAAAGGTTAGAAAATGAAAAGCCTTTTTAAAAGTAAACACAATTCCCATTTTAGAAAGTTGTTACAGAAACAGATGCCCCCCCACCAGGTGATTTTTCTTTAGCTTTACCAATTATTTTAAGTAATATTTTGCATTGATTTCTCAGTTATTATAGTATAGTAACATATAGGGGGGCTATACCAAAACTGGAGCACTCAGAATCTGGTGCAGCTGTGCATGGTAGCCAATCAGCTTCTAACTTCAGCTTATTCCAAGCTTAAACCAATCCCTCCACTGGCTTCCCGTTGCCCAACGAATAAAATTCAAAACATTAACAATAACATATAAAGCCATTATTAACTCCGCCCCAAATTACATCACCGATCTTGTCTCCAAATATCACCCAAACCAGAGGCGGACTGACCATTTGGAAACTCGGGCACTGTCCGAGGGCCCAGGGTCAGTAGGGGGCCCCATGAGATGCCCCTGGTACCTTTTTCATAGGCTTTTTTGAGTTTGGGCAAGGACACAGGGGCCCCGTGATCCCCTATTGCCTGGGAGCCCCATGACTTGTCAGTCCACCCCTGACCCAAACCGTACTCTCCACTCCTTGCACGACCTTCTGCTCTCTAGCACCCTTGTCTCCTCCTCCCATGCTTGTCTCCAGGATTTTTCCAGAGCTTCCCCCATCCTCTGGAGCTCTCTTCCCCAATTTATCAGACTATTGCCTAGTCTGCTCACGTTTAGGCGATCTCTGAAAACCTATCTCTTCAGGGAATCCTATCAGCTAACAATGGAATCTTCTACTCTTCCTACTAGTCCATCCCCCACAGTTACTACCCTTTTGTACCACTAGCCCCTCCCTCCTAGATTGCAAGTTCTGAGCAGCAGGGCCCTCCTAACCCTCTTGTATTGAACTGTATTGTTGCTGTATTGTCTCCCATT